TTTTAAATATTTAAATGTTAATTGTAATATTTTAATATTTAATAATAATATTTTATTGTGATTAGACTGATAAAATTGAACAAGTATATATTCAACACAATATGACGCAACATTATCATCTCATTGTCATAATCATTAAAAAAGTATAAAATATAGGAATAATGATCATGGTGAGGGTCCATAAAGAATTATTGTAGAAGGCAGCATCAGATGATTTGTTGCTCTGTTGTACGTACAGACACACTTAATATAATAAAACTCCCTAATCCTGCAGTTGGAGTAGAAGTATAATTCTAGTTGTTCTTAACCTCAGCTCTAGGTACAGGTGATAAGTTTGCCTCAAAACTCTGTCTGCTTTAATGCTTGTGGATGGAGTCCATAGTCCCCATTGAGTAGATTGGGTGGACTGTGTATTTATGATTTGAGGATGTCGTGGAGAAGAGAACAATTTTGAGTACCCATGCATAGACTTAAACCCAGGCTGTACAGCTCTGATCTTGTCTTCCAGGACTTCGGTGTGATGGTTCCTGTCTTGTTAGCTTAAAAGTAACATTTTTTACAGTTATATGTATATAGTTGAACTTTCTAACTTATCTAAGTGTAGTTAACAATGTTATCGTGGGCCCAGATTAAAGAACTACATCCCCCGGTTAATACTGTCTCATTTGCGGGCATTTATTTGCATGTTGTGGGGTATACAGATGCACTGTGCATTCTGTGGTAACTTCATTCTTGCAGATTCCGATTCTGACTCGGAAGACACGGAAGGTGTTTACTACTCTGTCAATGAACATCGTCAGCGACACAGGTGGAAGCAGCAGCTTGAAGGCGGCAATCAGCGCGGACAAAGCACCATGACTGTTATGCTCTCAGTTAGTCAGGGTGTAGTCAACCTGTATGCTCCTGTTAGGGTATGTGATATTTACTAATCAGTTCTTAGAACAAAGCCTGGGAAAAGAAATTACATAATAAAGAACTTTGTGGTTTGTACAGGTCGGCTGAATTAAGTGGACAACAGTCAGAACAGTTACGTACTATATCTAGTAAATCGTTCGAAAACATTTTGAAATTCACTAAACAACATTAACAAACTAAAATTAACTTTATAATGAAATTAAAAGAATAATTTACGGAAATGCTTTTTATCCAATTCAGAAACTTACCGTCTCACCTAATTTTCAAAGACTGAGAATCAGGACATACAAAACACTTCACTTTCACCAGTTGTCTGTATGGATGTGATACGTGATCTGCTTTGAAGAAGAAACTTGAATTGCAAATGTCTGAAAACCAAATGATCATGAAAATATTTTGTTGTAAGAAGGATAAAGTAACCAGGCACCTGAGGATGTTACATAACAAAAAACTGTGTGGTTTATACAAGACACTGGCTGGTATTAGAATAGTGAAATATAAAGAAAGGTGGATGGAAGTTAGGATCATGTCCATTGGCACGCTTGTGTATTATTTATGTTGGGTCCTGCTACCAGAGTGTTAGATTCTAAGTTTTGCGGGTTCATAGTAAGTTCAGGAAGATATCTGGATCTGCAAGAGAGAACTTTGTTATTTGTATAGCTCTGTAGTAATATTAGGGTTACAGTGTACTAGATTGTTGTGTGATGGAACATATTTTACATCAGAAGTATGAAACAGCATGGCTGCCATATTATTATTATTATTATTATTTATTTGACTGCAAATGGGTTTTTACCCGGTGGCAGTGGTCCTACAATAAGACACAACAAAACATAAGACAACAAAAACAATAAGAAACAACAGAACAATGAGACACAACAAAACAGTAAGACAAAAAGACATGACACAACAAAAACAATGAGACACAAAAAACATAAGGCACAAGAACAATAAGACACAACAAAGCAATGAGACACAACAAAACATTAAGACAAAAAGACATGCCACAACAAAAACAATGAGACACAAAAAACATAAGGCACAACAAGAACAATAAGACACAACCAAACAACACACCACACTCAAAATAAAACATAAAGTCATTGTTATCGTTCTATTTTATGATGATAACTAATGGATTCAGTATGAAGTTAGATGGTATACTCACCTTCAAAGTTTGTATGAAGTTTTCTTTCACGAATGTATGTTAAAAATTACAGAAGTTTTTGATGCATAACTTTGAGGTTATATCTCAAAATATAACTTATTAGGAATTTGTAATAGTGAAAATTATGTACACAAATGGTTGACTGAGTTGTTTTATTTTTATATTGTTGTTTCTGCCAGACTCAGTATAGAAATTAAACATGAAGGAAAGGCATCATAAGTTTTTCCGTTAATTTTTTGTGTCTTATTTAATGTGACATGTTTCTTGTAGGACTCTGGGGGAAATGTGATTCCTGGGCAGCATGGTGAACTGCAGATTATGTTTGATGATGGCAGCATGTTCTCCGTTTCAGGCTACAAAGGACAGCCTCATGTTGGTTATGTTTGTGTCCAAGTCAATCAGGCTTCGTTCTACCACAATGGTTAGATTTATTAGTATCGTACCTCATACAACATATAAATAGTCATTATAGAATAAAACACATTCTGTATTTTCTTGTAAAAGTGGTACCGTGACTTCTGAATTGTGCTATAGCAGACAGAGCAGTATAGAAGCATTTCAGAGACTTGGAAAATTGTTAGACGCTTGTACTGCTTTTTATGTATTACTTGGGGGAAATCATTTGTATTGTAAAATTAAAGTCTGATAATGTTACAAGGTAGGAATGAATGATGCTTATTTGGTCCTTTAATGTTCAGTTTTAACACTATAAAGAGATTTGCCTGTGAAAGGATTTAAGAATAGGCTACACTGTGTTTTCAGTTGAAGTCTTGGGTTATGCCCTAAAATACTCTGAATCTGCAAATAAGAGTTTACCAATGTTGCTTTCTGCACTTTGTTCATGTCTAAAAGATGTCATGGCCTTCATTTAACAGCATGACAGTGCTGCCTACAAGTTTGGTTCAGTTTGAAAAACAAAGCTGTATCATGCAACATCTTACAGGAAAAACTGTATTTAACATAGGTAAAAGCTTTTGTATATTGTTAATGGATGCCCTAACCTTCCAGGAAAGCTTTATAAATGGTAGATCTGCAGGGCCACAAAATTTGAATTCTCAGTAATGCGAGCTCCACAGCTAAAGAGTTGACACACTGAGTTTCACATGTCTGTTTTTATCTGTAAATATTTTTCTGTCTTTTATCCAGAATCATAATGAAATTATTTAAATGTATTTTAGTGATAAAATGACTTCCTGATCATCTGGACATTTCCACATATTCATATACTTTTTATGGGTTGCCTCATTCTTACCAGTAGATTTCTTTAAACGTAAGTCTCAAGAATCTGGGACTTTGTATGTAAACTCTTCTTAATGAAATATGAACATGATGTGTGTTATTACAGGCCTAGTAGCAACACCGTATGAAACGCCTCACTTGAAGATGGTCGGCACCCCTCCTCCATCACATCTAGACCCAACTATATATCACTCTGAAGCAGGGGCAGTAATTGGTTCATCAGAACCAGTTGGCACAGGCAATAGCAGTGATAGTCTAGACATGCTTACTGTTGCTATTAAGATCCAAGTGGATGATTCTGTCCACAACCTCAAGGTGAGGTCATAGGCCTAATTCAGGCCATACACATGTAGCAAAGCCATGTTGATTGTTGTAGGATTTTAAGTAATACATTTTTTTTACTGGATTTAGATTTTGGTAGGGTTTCACACATTTTAACATTGTAGACTGTACTCGGATAAGAAGGGATGTGGATTCAGATTATCCCTAAATATTCAAAAGGTGGGGTGGGGGGTGTTAGGAAGCAGGTAAAATTTAGTGTGTTTGCATTTCTTATTATTTTTAATTATATTAAATTGTGTATTTCAAAAAATTTTGTGAAGATGTGGACTGGATTGATCAGGCTGAGGATGGTTTCAATTGGCTAGATCTTGTGAACATGCAACTAACATTTAGGTGCCACAAAGCGTGGATAGTTACTTGAATATTCAAGCTACTGCCAGTTTCTTAAGAAGGGCCCAACTCTGTGGAGTTAGTGAGCTACTGTCAGTTTCTCAAGAAGGGCCCAACTCTGTGGAGTTAGTTACGGTTTTCTTTGTAAATTCTGTCCACTTGCTGCAATTCATTTCAGACTTTCCGAGTAGCAGCAGGCCTTCGAGGTGCTACCCTGAGGCATCGGATGTGCACTAGCAACCACAGTTGGTTCACGCAGATCGTAGACTTCTTTGATGTGATCGACTATCCTGTGGCTGGCTATGCTCCGCCTGGAGTAATCACAGAATTGCACATGCATCTGTGGGACTGTGCTGTGGATTACAGGTACTCCTTATGATGATGCTTCTTCAGGATATTCCATTAGTAGTGATAGCTTACCTAATAAGATTTCATAGACCTTCATATATAATTTCCTTTGTGTGTCCTTAGACAGAATGTAGAAACTCCTGTGTTTAATATTCTCTTGATTATTACAACACAAATTGATCTGGAACAAACACATCAGTTTCCACAATTGACATTTCTGTGGAAAAGACGTAATCATCCTTCCCACTATTATTTCCTGTTGGCTCATCATGGATGTTCTTTGAGGTGTGACAGCATTTATTTTTTCTCTGGTTTAATACTTTCTTGTGGGAGAAGCCTGAAGTGTAGTGATATCTTCAGTATCCTCTCCTCTTCAGATCACCTTACAACTAATTGGTACACGTTGATTACTACTTTGAAGGTAAACAGAATTAAGAGAATGAATTTGTGCAATGAATTGAGGAAAACCTTGAATGTTAGAAATTAACATAAATATATGAGGACTAGGATTACAAAAAATTAAAATTGGGTATGGGAAAAGATGAGGAACATGACGTGGCTGTCTTCATGGTTGTATCACCATGTAGTTTGGCCCTGATGATGGTGGCAGCAAGCACCTTTGAAACATTGTTCAATTTTTACCAGACTACACAGCACTGTAATCCAGAAGATGGCCATCTTTGTACGTGCAACTGTGAGAGCCTGAAATTCGTCATGAACTGTTTGACTTTACTGTACAGTCACAGCCATGTCCATTATTATACTTTTTTCACAAAACTGGGAGAAGTAGATGAGAGAGTACAATTAATTCTCATAAGCAGTGAAATTCCCATGTAATGTTTCTATTTAAAACAACAGATTTGACTGCTACCCTGATTATAATCATAAGTGGAAGGTGCTTAACCCTTTGAAGGCAGTGATCGTGTGAACTATATTAAAAAATGTAGTTCCTTCCTCGAAGGAAAAAACATCTCCATTACAAGGAACATCTGGTTAATGCTGTATGAGGAAATAATTGCTGTTTATTTTGAGGATCATACAAAACTCACAAATTCACTGTATATGCAAAATTCTGAATTAATGGGTGTTAAAGAAGGTGGTACATCCGGTCACAGTGGCCGCGTGGGCCTTGTGCCGCTTGGACACTGGGCCGTGGGTTCGAATCCCACTCAAGGAATGGATGTTTGCCCGCTTCTTTCTTTGTTGTGCTGTCCTCTGTACAGGTAGATGCCTTGTGACGGGCTGATCACTCGTCCAAAGATGGATTACACAACCTCCAAAAAAAGAGGAAAAAAGTAGACCCTGCCAAAGCCGGACAAATGCTAAGAAAAAGAAGAAAGTAGGCGGTACATATAGTGACCACTGTGCGTTAAAGGGTTAATGGTGAAATAATGGTGCTGTGACTTAAGAAATATAAAGATGAAAGTTGAATTGGGATAGCCTTAACTTGAGAACCATTTACTGAGTGTTTCATTGTACTGTATTTATCATATTACTTTGTTTTGACTATTCTGCAGTAATTATTTGCTGTAGGAAGGTATGTGAAATGCTTTAATACATCTTGTTTCTTTCCTGTGACATTCATATTAACTCTGTGATAGTGCATGGGACTCATATTTTGAAGGTTCACATTTTATATATTATACTGTAAAATAACAATGAATTACAGTGTTTTTTCTTTATTCTGTTTGCAGGCCACTGCACCTTCCTTTGAAGTCCATGGTAACATTTGGCAGCTTCAGTATATCCAGTAATATTGCAGCACAAACAAGCACTTCCACCCTCCGCTTCATGGCAGAAGACGCTGCATTATTTATCTCTGATAAGACTGGCTCAAGGCATCTGTCACGACCTGTGGATCTGCGAAAAGACTATGTGTGCGTGCTGGACTGGGGTCTGTTTGAACTCTCATTAAGACTGTGTGACAGAGCAGGAGAGCAGAATAAAGGAAGCCCAAGAGTCGATCTGCGTGCATCGAATAATATCCTCCATGTTCGAACTTGTGCCGACTCGGGTAAAGCCTTGACTGACCTGTTGATGTACTTTGCTTCGGACGGTGATCTCATGTCGATGGATGGTAGTAAAAACTCTGAAAACACTACATCTAGTGGAAATGCAAAAGTGGATCAAGTGCTTGTAAACATGAGTGCAGTGGACAGTAATCAAAATAATGCTCACAATCTCTCCAAATCACAAGTGGAACATGTACATGACATGATGGAGGAAGCTATGAAAGACACAAATGGTATCCACTCAAAAGGAAAATCAAGTAAATATTTTCCTATTTTATTATTTCTTATATCAAAAGTAAGACCACTTCCTTCACAGTACATACAACAATAATAATATATTCTGGCAAAGGTTCTCTAGCCTGTGAGGATGCTGAAGCCCCTGGTTAATGGAAGGAATAGCAAAGTGACACGTTCTTTTGAAGTGAATAGTTCCATTTCTTGCCACATAACCATTCACTTCAGTCATTGCCAGCATCATCATGTTTGTTATTATGGGTGTGTCAGCTTCAGAGGACGTTTGCACCCACGGAAATTGTTGACATTTATTTACAAAGTAGTTGTCTTTGTTTTGTTTTATTTTAATTGGCAGGCAGCACATAGAATGGAATCGTAAGGGGACAGTTGGACAAATCTGAGCTTCTGCCTTGCAGAATGTAGAATTGATAAATGTATTCACCAAAGTTAATGAATTGTTGATGATACAAAGTTCCTCATGACTTCTTGTACATTTTTGTGCTCAGTAGAAAGAAAGATACCGGCTGTGGCGATTACGAAGATGACCTTCTTCTGGGTTGTAGTGACGTGTAGTCTGGTAGAAGTTTACCAATGCTTCATAGGTCTGTGCTGCCTCTGTCATCACCCTGATGATTGAGGTAGCAAGGACCTCTGAATGTTGGTAAACTTCTACCAGAGTACATAGCACTGCAACCCAAAAGTGCTGGCATTCATGCTTAACGTGGAAGGAGGGGTAATTCTTATATTTTTAAAAGTAATAAATCTGTAAAATATAAAAAATGATGGTGCTGAATTTCACATGTGAATTCTCTTTAATTCTCTCATTTTAAGTACGGATCTATTTCTTTTCACTATCTTTTTTATGTGCATGCAGTAAAGCTGCGTTAATCGAGATTATGAGTTGACATTGATATTTATTAGTGTGTTGATGTGAATTTACAAAGTTTGACATGACTTTGGTTATATGTCCAGTTCTAAATATATTTACATTTGTTTTAATATTATTTTACTACTATCCCTCTTCTTTGCTACTCCATAATTATTGATTTATTCATCATCATATTTTATCACTAAACTTTTCTAGTTCCCTTTGTACACACTTAAATATGAGACCCAACATTTTGCAGTTTGTCATAATCTTTATTTGTCACTATACTTCTGATTTCAGTACTTGTGAATCTTTTTTCTACCAGCTCCTACCTCCAATTTGTGGTTTCCTCACATCTTAGTATGTGACTTTAGCCTTCTTCCTTATTACACATAGGACACAAACCCTGTTCTTTATTTCCCCTAATGCCCTTCATTTTCCACTATCCTGTACATCTTCTATCCTCTGAGTACATGATTTTATGTATCTTTTCTTTTCCCAAGTCATCAGTTCATTGTAAAATACCGCCCATCTTTTCTCTATCATACATGCTTCCATATTTTGTGTCTTAAAATCCACATACCTTTTGCTTGCTGTTAGAAAATCCTCTTGTACTACCATTTATTAGATTTTGACTGCGTTGTTTGTGTGTTATATAGGATTGCCAAGATCAAATCAGAGCAAGAAAGGGGTGGAAGTATTTTTCTTCCCAGATGAGAATTGTCCACTACCTGCTAAACCTCTAAACGATTCTGAGTTCTGCCAGTCCATGGATGATGAGGATGATGACTGGGAGAAGGGCTTCTGTATCGTGGATAAAGAAGCAGAATCCGGAATCATGGTGATTTACCACTTTACTAATTTTTGAATTTAGTCATTAATTTATGTGCATATTTTATTGTAGAAAATATTCCCACAAAATTCAATATACAGTAAAACCTCTCTAACTTGGACACTTGCGGTTCCACAATAATGTGTCCAACTTACAGAGGTGTCCAGGATAGAGGGAAAGGGGAAAAGCATCTTTTCAAATTGTGGTGTAATGACAATGTGGTAATTGTAGAGTATTATGGAGCCCTTCCC